CACACACACACACACACACACGCACACACGTGAACAATCAATGATCCCCCGGAGTTGCAACGCCTCGCATTGTCTCGTTTCAGCTCTGCATTTCCTTTGACACTTTAGCCCTCCATACGCCGCCCGCCACGCTCTTTGGCCTATTCCCACAATCTTCCTCTTCCCCCCCCTTCGCTTTCTTAATGTTATCTCGACGAGTCGAGCTCATCGCTCAGCGCCCAGCTGCAAGGCTGCAGCAGCGTTCGACGGCCCAAAACGTAATCTCAATGGACAGTATTCTTTGCGCTTTCTGGTTGAGGCTGTGTTGTCTGGTTGTCGTGGTGAATGCGATGAGACCGAGGCCGTTCTTAACGCTCTGACGCTGGAGGATCTTGTTGGGATGGTAGGGCGACATCCACGAACCAGCAGGTGCGGCCTCGGCGCCCGAGTGAGGTTGACCGCTGGCCTGAGCGAGAAAATTCATTATCTCCGGCTATCCATCGAGAGTGGGCCGCATGGATCCTGCTCAGTCGGCTGGGCTGGGCGAAAATGAGCAGGCGAGGACTTACGTGAGGCCGCGCTCTGAAATTGTGCGGTGTGCCGCATCTGCTGCATCGCCGATCCGCATGCGCCATGCCGACGTGACGTGGGTGCGGTGCCAGACCTGAGTCGAGTCGAGTCGAGTCGCCTTGAGGCCGCAGTTGGCCTGCGAGAGAGCGGATGCTTGGTCCCCCTTTTGAATTCCCAAAATCCGGCCGTGTGGAGAAAAAGGCTTTGGAAAAAGGCTGAGCTGACGCACGGCGCTGCCTTTTCTTGGAAGACAGACAAGTGGCCGTCATCATTTGCTCGTGCGCCCTTCTGCTTCTTCTGCCACCACACATCCTATCCTTTCATCCGTCGCCAACGCTTTCGATCCCATCATCTCCGCAGTGGTTGACGCTCGCAGCATCGCGTTCTCTCGGATCGGACTCCCACTCGACGAACCGACTCGACGATTCGCTCTTCTGGCGTCTCGGTAGCTCCTGCTCGCATCGCTGGCTGGCCTAGGATCGGCTCCACCACTCGACAGTCGTACCTGTGAGGGCTAGCTCGTTGGAGCACAACGGCAGTTCGGGATATGGACGGCTCTGCGCCGGTCGAGGAGCTCGGCTCCTTGTCCAACTTTGACGCCTCTCTCCAAGCGCATGTCGTGGGTGCCGATCCGGTCCTGAGCCTGCCCCTCCGCCTATTCTCGTCGACGCTGGGACAGCTGCGCCGCCACTCGACGCTCTCCAACCTTTGCGACAACGTTGAAGGCTGGGGCCCGGTCTCGCAGCATCGTGACCTCGACTTCACTCCCTGCTTCCAGGAAGCCGCCTTTTGGACCGCGCCAGTCTTCCTCCTCGCCGTGTTCGGCGGCATCCATCTGGCTATCCTCTCCAAGCGCCAAGATCGAACCCTGACGCGCACCTCGCGCGCCGTACTGCGCGCAAAGCATGTCGTCGTCGCCGCTCTCGCCATCGCCGCCGCTTTCCAGGCCTCCATCACGTACGGCCTCTTCGCCAAGCCAGGCGAGTCGATCCTCTTCTGGTCCTCGATCGCCGGCATCGGCGGCTATCTTGTCGTCTTGCCGCTTCAGCACTTCAACCATCTTCGCTCGCGTCGCAGCTCCGATGTGCTCCTCTTCTTCTGGCTCGCCCACTTCTTTGCCAGCATCGTCAAGCTGCGCACCTCGATCACCCCGCCCTCGCTCCCGGTCAAGGACCAGCTTGTCACCTTGGTGCCCTTCCTCGTCCGCTTCGTCCTCGGCATCTTCGCCTTCGTGCTCGAGTGTCTCGGCGTCGAGCTGGGCTCCTTCGATGATGCCGACCAAAAGCGCGCCTCGTCCGTCGCGGCTCGTACCAACGGCAACGGCTACCATGCCGCCCCTGCCGAGGCCAACGGCAGCGCGTTCAGCGTCTTCACCGACGATCGCGAGGCCAACGCTCACAACAACGACCCGGTAGACTCTGGAAACGAGTGCCCCGTCGTCACCGCCAATATCTTCAGCCGCATCACCTTCCACTGGATGCAGCCGCTCATGACGCTCGGCGCCAAGAAATTCGTCACCGAAGACGACATGTGGGCCTTGCCCGCCAACGAGGACGCAGAAAACCTCGGCAGGCGCTTCGATCAGTTCTGGGAGCAGACCAAGAACAAGTCGACGGGCAAGCCCGCCTTCTGGACCACTCTCGCCTACTCGTACGGTGGACCATTCCTTTTCGCCGCCATCCTCAAGATGGCCCAGGACACGCTCGCGTTCGTACAGCCTCAGATCCTCCGCAAGTTGCTCCAGTTCGTCCAGAGCTACGAAAGCGAGGACCCGAACCAGTCTGCCATGCAGGGCTACCTGCTCTCCGCCGCCCTCTTCTGCGTCGCCGTCACCCAGACCTCGTTCCTGCACCAGTACTTCCAGCTTGTCTTTGTCACCGGCATGCGCGTGCGTGCCGGTCTGGTCAGCGCCATCTTCAAGAAGAGCCTGCGCCTCTCCAACGAGGACCGCGGCGGCAGGGCCACGGGCGACATTGTCAACCTCATGTCCGTCGATGCCACGCGTCTTCAGGACCTCTGCACCTACGGACACATCGCCTGGAGTGCTCTCTTCCAGATGACGCTCGCCTTTGTCTCGCTGTACAACCTGCTCGGCTGGCCCTCGTTTGTCGGCGTCGCCATCATGGTGGTCAGCGTGCCGCTCAACACCGCGCTCGCCCGCTACCTGCGTCGTCTCAGCGAAAAGCAGATGAAGGTCAAGGACAAGCGCACGCGCCTCATGAACGAGATCCTCACCAACATCAAGTCGATCAAGCTCTTTGCCTGGGAGGAGGCCTTCACCCGCAAGCTCTTCAAGGTGCGCAACGACGAGGAACTCAAGCTCCTCCGCACCGTCGGCGTCGTCTCGGCCTTCTTCAACTTCTTCTGGACCGCCATCCCCTTCTTCGTCTCGCTCGGCACCTTTGTCACCTACGCCTACACCAACCCCGAGCCGCTCACCGCCGACGTCATCTTCCCCGCCCTCGCCCTCTACCAGCTGCTTTCGTTCCCCATCGCCATGTTTGCCGGCATCATCTCGGCGCTCCTCCAGGCACAGGTCTCGGCCCAGCGTCTCTCGGACTTCTTCGATGCTGGCGAGCTCGACCCGCTGGCTCGCAAGGTCATCCTCCCCGGCCAACGCGAGCCCGTCAACCCGGATGCGCCCTCGCGTCCCGGCGATGTCCTCGAGGCGCTCAACGACGCCGAAGCGCGCGAGCCGCAACAGGGTGACGAAGTTGTCACCATTCGCGACGGCGAATTCAAGTGGTCTCGATCCCAGCCGGTCCCCACACTCCAGGACATCAACCTCACCGTCAAGAAGGGCGAGCTGCTCGCTGTGCTCGGCAAGGTCGGCGATGGCAAGAGTTCGCTGCTCTCGGCGATCCTGGGTGAGATGGTGCGCACCGATGGCGAGACCGTCATCAAGGGCCGCACGGCCTACTTCACCCAGGGTGGCTGGTGCATGGGTGCTACGGTGCGCGACAACATCCTATTCGGCCTCAAGTACGAGCCCGAGTTCTACCAGCGCGTCGTCGATGCCTGTGCCCTGACGCCCGACCTCAACATCCTGCCCGAAGGCGACCGTACCGAGGTCGGCGAGCGCGGTGTCAGCCTGTCCGGTGGCCAGCGAGCGCGTATTGCGCTTGCACGTGCTTGCTATGCCCGAGCCGACATCTACCTGCTCGACGACCCGCTCGCTGCGGTCGACGCTCACGTCGGCGCGCACATCTTCAAGCATGTCATTGGTCCCGAGGGTCTGCTGCGCAGCAAGGCTCGCATTCTTACCCTCAACTCGGTGGCCTGCCTTCCCGACTGCGACCAGATCGTTTCGGTGCGACGCGGTATCATCCTGGACGAGCGTGGAACATACGACCAGGTCATGGCAAAGAAGGGCGACTTGTACAACCTCATCACCGGACTGGGCAAGCAGAGCGCACGCGAGCAGGCGGCGGAGGACGGTGAAGGCGACGTATCCGCCAAGGAGCTCGAGGTGATCGACATGGACAAGGAGCTCGACTCGCACGGACAGGGCGGCGACGAGGATCTCAAGGGCTCCAAGCTGCATCGCCGCATCAGCTCGGCCTCGATGGTGCGTCCCAAGACGCTGTCCAAGAGGCAGATCAAACAGGACACCATCCGCCAGCTCAAGGAGAGCTCGGCACCCAAAGAAAAGTCGGAGCAGGGCAGCGTCAAGCCCGAGGTGTACCGCCAGTACATCAAGAGCTGCAGCGTGCTTGGCGTCGTGCTCTACATCCTCGCCCAGGTGCTCTCGCAGGTCATGACCGTCTCGCGCGATGTCGTGCTCAAGCAGTGGGGCGCCGCCAACTCGGAGAACGGCGGCGACCCGTCGACCACGCGTTTCTACCTCATCCTCTACGGCATCGTTGGCATCCTCGCTTCGATCTGCATCTGCATCGCGCCGTTCATCCTGTGGACGTGGCTCGTGATCTCGAGTGCGCGCAAGTTCCACGACAACATGTTTGACGCGGTGCTGCGCAGCCCGCTGCAGTGGTTCGAGACCACGCCGACGGGACGCCTGCTCAACTTGTTTTCGCGCGACGTCAACGTGATCGACGAGGTGCTGCCGCGTGTCATCCACGGTCTCATCCGCACCATGGTCGTGGTGCTCGGTGTGCTGTGTGTGGTGGCCTACTCGGTGCCGCCGTTCCTGATCGCCATCATCCCGCTCGCGTTTGCCTACCGCGCGGTGCTTCGCTACTACCTTGCCACCAGCCGCGAGCTCAAGCGACTCGACTCGGTGAGCAAGACACCCATCTTCACGTGGTTCCAAGAGTCGCTCGGTGGTCTCAGCTCGATCCGCGCATTCGGACAAGAGTCGCGCTTCATCGCCACGTCCGAGGCGCGTGTGGACCGCAACCAGCAGTGCTACTTCCCCGCGGTCTCGTGCAACCGCTGGCTGGCGGTACGCATCGAACTGATGGGCTCGGTGATCATCTTTGTCGCCTCGACGCTCGCCGTCTTCATCCGCACGAGGAACGGCAAGATGGACGCGGGCCTGCTCGGACTTATGATGTCGCAGGCGCTGAGCACGACGCAGACGCTCAACTGGGTGGTGCGATCGGCGTCCGAGGTGGAGCAGAACATCGTGAGCGTCGAGCGCGTCATGTCGTACACGGACCTGGTGTCCGAGGCGCCGTACGAGGTGCCTGACCAGACGCCGCCGGAGGACTGGCCGAGCAAGGGCGAGGTGAGCATGCAGTCGTACTCGACGCGCTACCGCCGCGAGCTGGGGCTGGTGCTCAAGAAGCTCAACCTGGACATCCAGGCGGGCGAGCGCATCGGCGTGGTGGGCCGCACGGGTGCGGGCAAGTCGAGTCTGACGCTGGCGCTCTTCCGCATCATCGAGGCGGCCGAGGGCAAGATTGTGATCGACGGCATCGACGTGTCCAAGATCGGACTCAAGGACCTGCGATCGGCGATCGCCATCATCCCGCAAGACCCGCAGCTGTGGGAGGGTACGCTGCGCGAGAACCTGGACCCGACCGGACGCTCGGACGATGCGGCGCTGTGGAAGGCGCTCGAGCAGGCGCGCATGAAGGAGCACGTGCAGAGCCTCGAGGGCGGCCTCGACGCGCAGCTCACCGAGGGCGGCACCAACTTTTCGGCAGGCCAGCGCCAGCTGATCTGCATCGCGCGTGCGTTCCTGCGCAACGCCAAGATCCTGGTGCTCGACGAGGCGACGAGCGCCATCGACCTCGAGACGGACGCACAGGTACAGGCGATCGTGCGCTCCGAGTTCACAGGCACCACCATCACGGTGGCGCATCGACTCAACACGGTCATCGACTCGACGCGCGTGCTCGTGCTCAAGGACGGCACGATCGCCGAGTTCGACACGCCCGACAACCTGCTCGCCAACAAGCAGAGCATCTTCTTCTCCATGGCGCTCGAGGCGGGACTGGCCAAGCTGGACTCCTAGCTGAACCCCCCTCCCATACATACACACTCTTCTAATCTCAATACACAAGTGTTTCGGTCGGACTCTTTGCTGATGGTGCGTGCGGGTCTGTGCCGAGACAGGGTGAGCAACCGCAGAAATGAATGAAGTGAGACTGTGAAGGGGAGAGGGGGGATCAACGGGAATGAAGGCTGCGGAGCGGCTCAACGCGTTGGCGCGATTCAAGCCTTGTCGCGGCTGGGGCGCGCGTGCGTGGAGGCAAGCGGAAGGAAACAACACAATTTGGCGTCGCCTTGAGCACAGCAACACTTTCCGCCTTCCTCCACCACACTCACTCGGCGCACTTCTTGCTCCAATTGCATCCGCAACCGCAACCGCATCGATCGCCGTCGGCCGTTCCACTGTGACCACCACACACTCTTCCACCTCCGTCCAGACGCGCAGAGAGAGAGAAAGAGCCAGACAACATGGGCGAGTCGTGGACGGCGAATAGCTCCTCGGCCATGGCGATACGCCTAGTGGGTTCACCACACGGCACCGACGCTGCCTTCCATCCGTCGTTCACCTATCCAATCTACGGCGAGGCAGAGACCATCTACGGCTACCAGGGCCTCGTGCTCAACCTCGACTTGGCGTCGGGCAGTCTGGTGCCCAAGTTCGAGGTCAAGTACCGCGCCAAGAACGAGGCGACGACGGCCAAGCTCGACGATGTCGAGGGGATCATCAAGCCGTTCCTGCCGGCCGACTATATTTCAGCGGCGGCGTCTTCGTCTGCAAGCCAGGAGTTTGCAGCGGCCCTCGAGAAGAGCTCGAGCTTCCGACCGCTGGGCGACAAGGTGCACAGCTACACGCGGCGCAAGGTGAACAAGGGCAAGGGCAAGTCGAGCGGAGCGGCGTCTGCTGCGGCCTCGATGCTGGCCGAGGACGATCCGGATGCGCGCGTGTTTGAGATCTACCGCGCCACGTGGGATACGCCTGGGTTCCGCGAATACCACCGCCGCATGCAGCTGTTTGTGCTGCTGTTCATCGAAGGCGCGAGCTACATCCAGGAGGACGAGACCAACTGGGAGTTTTTCACGCTGTACGAAAAGGTGCGCGGCGCGAGCGGCGCCGAGGACGACGCAACATGGCACTTGATGGGCTATACGAGCCTGTACAAGTTTTGGTGCTGGCCCGACTCGTCGCGCGTGCGTCTGTCGCAGTTTGTGGTGCTGCCGCCGTACCAGAAGCAGGGCCATGGCGGTGCGCTGTATACGACGGTGTACGATCAGATCCGCAAACGCAGCAGCGTATCCGAGCTCACGGTCGAGGACCCGTCGGAGGATTTTGACCGCCTGCGCGATGGCAACGACCTGCGACGCCTCCTGGCGCCAGGCGGCTTTGTGGAAACCGCCAAGAAGCAAGGCAAGCTGCATGCACCGCTGGACGCCGAGTGGATCGAGGCGCAGCGGCTGGAGCACAAGCTGGCGCCGCGCCAGTGGGCGCGCGTGCTGGAGATGGTGCAGCTCATGAACCTCGACACGGGCGATGCCGAGCAGATCCGACAGTACCGCCTGCAGGTCAAGGCGCGCATCTACCGCCAGAACAAGGACATCCTCATCCAGCTCGACAAGACACAGCAGCGCGCCAAGCTGCAGGAGACGTTCGAAGGCGTCATCGACGAGTACGGCGACATGGTCGGCGTCGACATCGAGCCCATCGTCGACGCAGGGCCGAGCTTTGCGGGCCTCCACGGCGTCGATGAGGAGGAGGACGATGAGGAGGAGGACGGCCACTACGAGAACGGCAACGGCCCGCCACGAAAGATGGCACGCTTCGCGTAGGTCTGCGAATGCTACTACTTGACATGCGTTTCCCTTGCGTTGGTGCTGAGAGCGAGACAGAGGCTTCGTATGAATGGACCGGGGAGCGCACCAATTTGGCTATGTATGGAGGCATCGATCTGACACTCTGTCGCCAAAAACGCGCGTCCGGAGAGACTGGACAGCAGCAGCGCGCTGAGCTTCTCTTTTCTGCTCGTGTGCGTGCGGTGGGTTGGCTTTTGGCGTCGGAGCGCGTCTTCGAACTTTTTTTTTT